GAAGCAGCATTGTGATATGGATTACTTATATCCATATAAGTAGTATATAACGGTAGTCAGGCATAGAATGTATTTCAGTATAAGAGAACGGGAACGGGACGCAATTGGTATGAAAATGCATGAAGAATGAAATCTGAGACAATTGATTGATATTTGCAACAGGAACAGTCAAGTTTGAGATGATGGATTGATATTTTGCAAATTAACGATTTACTAGATGGTTCTCAGATTTTAGTGAGATGCTCTGTAATTTCGTGTCGAATGCATTCCATAGTCCCCACCCGTGTTCTTGTTCACTACAGCATCACCCAAATCCATATCCTGAGAATATGCAACTGAACTATTCATACTACGATTGATAGTTACAACTGGTTTGTCACTGGTTAGTGACTAATATCAGATTTTCATAGTCTTTCAGCTCTGATTGAATTGAACGGATTATATTGCAACATAGCAATTAGTTTAAGTTATTCGGTATCTCATGCTCTGTATGGTTGAAGACGATCACTTGCAAGTTCTGAAACCTAAATGAATATAATATTAGTTTCTACAAGCTTAATAAATGCTGAGGTAACTTCATCGACAGAAATTTATCAGCGCTAAAGACTTAACAGATATGACATTGATTGTCATGTAGTCATCATCTAATATGAATACCTCAGTATCACAAGAGGTGAGCGATGGATTAGGCAGTTCAGCTTTAAATAAAATTTAATATGACACTTGGTAATATGGAACCAAATGCTTCAGAGAACGAAAATTCGCTCAAGATTGTAGTAACTCTATACTAACGAGTACCAACCAACATGAAACCTATTCACGTAGTAACTGATTTCAATCATCTAAATATATAGTTCGAAATATTAATTTATAAGGTTCGTATTGATTTATAAACTCTGAGTACAAATATTTGCATATTACCATTAATCTTATCATGATATTTCTTTGACAGTAAAGAAGAATAGTGTTATGACTTGTGGGTTTGTGCCCCTATCAATGTATAACATTATCATACCGCCAACTAAAAAACAGTGAATTATCAACCGGACCAATGGCGCATAAAATCCGTAACAACAGTCTAGAATCTTTACTGGTCCTTCTTCCCGCCTAGTTCTGCCTGTTTGAGTCCAGAACACCAATCTCAGCCTCTGCGATATGAATCATATATTTCAAACATACTGGGTTTATATACAATCCAAACAGACCATATCATACCATAAAATGGAAAACAACATTTGTACAAGATTTAGCCAAAAGTATCTGTGAATGTGGGAGATTGTAATTGATAGACTGGGTATAACTCAAGAATAGTAAATCGTATAATAATAGTTCATACGTCAAAATAAAGCTTATGATAAGGGGAACACGAATATGAATAGTTTAGTTACTTAACAAATATACAATAAAAATATATGTATAGTAATAGTCCAGAAATCGATTTCAACAGTTACCATTCATTATTCTCATTGGGATATAACAATTAGATCTATTCATGTTACAGTGGAATCTTAGTTTAAAACGTATTATTCTAAATGCTTTACAAGTCTACATAAATTTACCCATTTCAGTGTTTAACTATTTAAGGACAGAACTTATGTACTTTTACTTCGAATATTAAGTGCTGGGATAATACTAACTTCTACAATTCAAAAAATTCCATTCATGACACCAGGATGAAAAGTTTTATTTTTATTCCAGTAAATATACTAACAACTGAGGACATTTTCAACGTTTTCAATATGGACTGATTATAATATATTCATTACATTCAATTACTTCATCTAGTAGATGAGTGCTCCAGATTGAAGAGTCATTTTCAATGATTTTATTTCAAGAGATTGAAGTTATCCTCATCTATTATGAAAACCTATTCATTGTGACTCAGTTTAACATTCTAGATGAATTCTTCAATATAAATTACACTGATATAAGGTATTCACCCATTAGACAGACGGTGAAGAATGAAGGAAAGTGATGAATTTAGCACTGCTAGTGAACATTGATAAGTCTTATAATTGTGTATACATTTGTTTACCTACAATCTGGCTAATTCATCAACTGATTATTATTATTTTCTTATAATTATCAATAAATTTATCAAATATTCTGTTTCAGGTTTGGTTTCAAAATCGACGAGCAAAATGGCGTAAAACAGAAAAGAAATGGGGTAAAAGTAGTATTATGGCTGAATATGGTTTGTATGGAGCTATGGTTCGACATTCATTGCCTTTACCTAAAACAATACTTAAATCAGCATTGGATAATAATGATGAATCATGTGCACCATGGTTGTTAGGTAATTTATAATGGAGAAACTATGTTTTTTTATTTATATTGATTAATTAACCGTATTAATGCATCGCTTTGTTTTTCTCAGCAAATTATACCAAGTGTATAAAGTTATGCCCTCTTTTTGAGTGCTGGGTTCAATCGATTGAGGTGCGGTCATTAGTACGTATTCTTAAAGAGTTCCATACTAAAAGGAGACAGCTATTAAAGGTCTTCAGATTAAAAATGGTCAGTCATTAATATAAACTATAAAATGTGGTAAACTCCACAAATACCATATACTAAATTGTATAATATGGAATATTAGTCACTTAACGGTTTCATCAAGAATGACCATTACCTTAAAGATATATACTCTCAAATATTTAAATAATTCTCACCTGGAAGATATACACATAGAGAACATGTCTTGAAAATCATTATTTTATTATTATAAAAGTAAACTGGTTGTATGGTGTATGCTACCGACGTCGACAGATATAAATGGTATGTATCATCAATCGAAAGTGAAATACCTAGTGGTAGAAGATTAAGGAGATTGAAGTAAAGAGAATGAGAACAAGGAATGATTCGTATGGAAACGAAAGAACGATGAAACCTGAGACGATTGATTGACATTTTACAAATGAAGTATTGGTTGTATGGACCTCGGATTTTACTAAGTGATTCTGTAATTTTGCATCTAAATGCATTCGATTGTCCCCACTTGTGTTTTCGTTCACTACACTAAGGTCACTGATAACGATTTCAGTCACTATCCGTTTTTGTAAATAGGATTCGAAAAAAATCCTCTAATTCGATGAGACTATCATTTAACATTCTATGAAAAGAATACCTTCAGAAAACTTATGTTGATAACAATCCTGCTCATATCAACAAAACATTTAAGGCATTATAATTTCTAAATACAAATCTATGTTACTACTAGTTCGTTTAGTAGTCAACAGGAAATTTCTAGTTTTCAGATTATTATAACAATAGTCGATCATATCATCATATCACGAATTAAGTTACAAGTATGAATGATGTCAAATAACCACTGAGTTGGAACTCCACGAAATCACGTAAGTCACAATTTCCAACTCCAGTCACTTGATAATATAGCATGAGTAACCCTCAACCGATTTCGAGATGGTGGGGAACATTTGTTGCTCAGGTGGATGATTATGATGGAGTATTGTTCTCTGAGCTGGATGGTTTGGTCGTGGAGCTTTCACCGTTATTCTGAGCAGCATCATCAGCACGAATTTCTCCATATATGACTCACAGCTCGTCCGGTAGACCTCGATGTTGATTGGTATATGTTCATGTCTAACCAGTCATTGTTTTATTCTTTATTTTGGTTGTATCTCCCATCCCATTTCATTTTGAAATCAATTAACTCGTCACACTTTCTCATGAGAATTCTAAATCAGTCACTAATTCCCAGTCAACTGTTATTTACTTAGATCTATAATACAGATTTATGCATTACATTTGTTTTATGATACTGAAGTTTTTGTTGATTGTGTCGTTCAAAAGATCACTACCAAGCCATCCAGCTCAGAGAACAATACTCCATCATAATCATCCACCTGAGCAACAAATGTTCCCCACCATCTCGAAATCGGTTGAGGGTTACTCATGCTATATTATCAAGTGACTGGAGTTGGAAATTGTGACTTACGTGATTTCGTGGAGTTCCAACTCAGTGGTTATTTGACATCATTCATACTTGTAACTTAATTCGTGATATGATGATATGATCGACTATGTTATAATAATCTGAAAACTAGAAATTTCCTGTTGACTACTAAACGAACTAGTAGTAACATAGATTTGTATTTAGAAATTATAATGCCTTAAATGTTTTGTTGATATGAGCAGGATTGTTATCAACATAAGTTTTCTGAAGGTATTCTTTTCATAGAATGTTAAATGATAGTCTCATCGAATTAGAGGATTTTTTTCGAATCCTATTTACAAAAACGGATAGTGACTGAAATCGTTATCAGTGACCTTAGTGTAGTGAACGAAAACACAAGTGGGGACAATCGAATGCATTTAGATGCAAAATTACAGAATCACTTAGTAAAATCCGAGGTCCATACAACCAATACTTCATTTGTAAAATGTCAATCAATCGTCTCAGGTTTCATCGTTCTTTCGTTTCCATACGAATCATTCCTTGTTCTCATTCTCTTTACTTCAATCTCCTTAATCTTCTACCACTAGGTATTTCACTTTCGATTGATGATACATACCATTTATATCTGTCGACGTCGGTAGCATACACCATACAACCAGTTTACTTTTATAATAATAAAATAATGATTTTCAAGACATGTTCTCTATGTGTATATCTTCCAGGTGAGAATTATTTAAATATTTGAGAGTATATATCTTTAAGGTAATGGTCATTCTTGATGAAACCGTTAAGTGACTAATATTCCATATTATACAATTTAGTATATGGTATTTGTGGAGTTTACCACATTTTATAGTTTATATTAATGACTGACCATTTTTAATCTGAAGACCTTTAATAGCTGTCTCATTTTAGTATGGAACTCTTTAAGAATACGTACTAATGACCGCACCTCAATCGATTGAACCCAGCACTCAAAAAGAGGGCATAACTTTATACACTTGGTATAATTTGCTGAGAAAAACAAAGCGATGCATTAATACGGTTAATTAATCAATATAAATAAAAAAACATAGTTTCTCCATTATAAATTACCTAACAACCATGGTGCACATGATTCATCATTATTATCCAATGCTGATTTAAGTATTGTTTTAGGTAAAGGCAATGAATGTCGAACCATAGCTCCATACAAACCATATTCAGCCATAATACTACTTTTACCCCATTTCTTTTCTGTTTTACGCCATTTTGCTCGTCGATTTTGAAACCAAACCTGAAACAGAATATTTGATAAATTTATTGATAATTATAAGAAAATAATAATAATCAGTTGATGAATTAGCCAGATTGTAGGTAAACAAATGTATACACAATTATAAGACTTATCAATGTTCACTAGCAGTGCTAAATTCATCACTTTCCTTCATTCTTCACCGTCTGTCTAATGGGTGAATACCTTATATCAGTGTAATTTATATTGAAGAATTCATCTAGAATGTTAAACTGAGTCACAATGAATAGGTTTTCATAATAGATGAGGATAACTTCAATCTCTTGAAATAAAATCATTGAAAATGACTCTTCAATCTGGAGCACTCATCTACTAGATGAAGTAATTGAATGTAATGAATATATTATAATCAGTCCATATTGAAAACGTTGAAAATGTCCTCAGTTGTTAGTATATTTACTGGAATAAAAATAAAACTTTTCATCCTGGTGTCATGAATGGAATTTTTTTGAATTGTAGAAGTTAGTATTATCCCAGCACTTAATATTCGAAGTAAAAGTACATAAGTTCTGTCCTTAAATAGTTAAACACTGAAATGGGTAAATTTATGTAGACTTGTAAAGCATTTAGAATAATACGTTTTAAACTAAGATTCCACTGTAACATGAATAGATCTAATTGTTATATCCCAATGAGAATAATGAATGGTAACTGTTGAAATCGATTTCTGGACTATTACTATACATATATTTTTATTGTATATTTGTTAAGTAACTAAACTATTCATATTCGTGTTCCCCTTATCATAAGCTTTATTTTGACGTATGAACTATTATTATACGATTTACTATTCTTGAGTTATACCCAGTCTATCAATTACAATCTCCCACATTCACAGATACTTTTGGCTAAATCTTGTACAAATGTTGTTTTCCATTTTATGGTATGATATGGTCTGTTTGGATTGTATATAAACCCAGTATGTTTGAAATATATGATTCATATCGCAGAGGCTGAGATTGGTGTTCTGGACTCAAACAGGCAGAACTAGGCGGGAAGAAGGACCAGTAAAGATTCTAGACTGTTGTTACGGATTTTATGCGCCATTGGTCCGGTTGATAATTCACTGTTTTTTAGTTGGCGGTATGATAATGTTATACATTGATAGGGGCACAAACCCACAAGTCATAACACTATTCTTCTTTACTGTCAAAGAAATATCATGATAAGATTAATGGTAATATGCAAATATTTGTACTCAGAGTTTATAAATCAATACGAACCTTATAAATTAATATTTCGAACTATATATTTAGATGATTGAAATCAGTTACTACGTGAATAGGTTTCATGTTGGTTGGTACTCGTTAGTATAGAGTTACTACAATCTTGAGCGAATTTTCGTTCTCTGAAGCATTTGGTTCCATATTACCAAGTGTCATATTAAATTTTATTTAAAGCTGAACTGCCTAATCCATCGCTCACCTCTTGTGATACTGAGGTATTCATATTAGATGATGACTACATGACAATCAATGTCATATCTGTTAAGTCTTTAGCGCTGATAAATTTCTGTCGATGAAGTTACCTCAGCATTTATTAAGCTTGTAGAAACTAATATTATATTCATTTAGGTTTCAGAACTTGCAAGTGATCGTCTTCAACCATACAGAGCATGAGATACCGAATAACTTAAACTAATTGCTATGTTGCAATATAATCCGTTCAATTCAATCAGAGCTGAAAGACTATGAAAATCTGATATTAGTCACTAACCAGTGACAAACCAGTTGTAACTATCAATCGTAGTATGAATAGTTCAGTTGCATATTCTCAGGATATGGATTTGGGTGATGCTGTAGTGAACAAGAACACGGGTGGGGACTATGGAATGCATTCGACACGAAATTACAGAGCATCTCACTAAAATCTGAGAACCATCTAGTAAATCGTTAATTTGCAAAATATCAATCCATCATCTCAAACTTGACTGTTCCTGTTGCAAATATCAATCAATTGTCTCAGATTTCATTCTTCATGCATTTTCATACCAATTGCGTCCCGTTCCCGTTCTCTTATACTGAAATACATTCTATGCCTGACTACCGTTATATACTACTTATATGGATATAAGTAATCCATATCACAATGCTGCTTCGATTTTTATAAGAAACATCAATTTCATCGAAATTGTTAGTATACCCAACTAACCCAAAGCTTATGTTTAAGGTTTCCTGCTGATTAATTACAATAACTTAACTTTTAAACAAACACCATTCATCAATAAGATAACCCTCCCCCCTCCAAAAAAACAAAGTAAAGTAAACAATTAAAAACACTTGTATTTACTTGAATTCTATCTTCAGGTAATTCAGCTTTCATAGATAATAATTCACGCTGATAAACATCTGGATAATGTGCTTCATGAAATGCTTTCTCTAGTTCATTTAATTGTCCACTTGTAAATATTGTTCTAAACAAAATATATATATTCAACAGAAGCGATCAATATAAATAGGAAAGAGAAAAGAAAGAAAGCGAGCGATAATTAACAAACTTTCATAAACAGGTTGTCAACTTGTATATGGGAAAAAACTAAGATATTCAAATATAACACAGAAGAATACTAACCTAATCACATTTGATGGAGAAACTCTAGAATAGGTGGAAACTTTCTTGTATTTGGACAATATCATTGATGAACTATGGAGGATCTGATGAAGATATGAAGGTAAGGATTAACAAACTAAAGGCAGCATTCCTACAGTTGAAGAATATATGGAATTCAAAATAACTTTCAACTAATATCAAAGTCAGATTCTTCAATATGAACATCAGGATAGTCCTACTGTACTGAACTGAAACTCGGTGAATGGCCACAACCATCATCAAAATGGTACAGATATTGATAAACAATTGTTTGCACAAGATATTCGATATCTGTTGTTGATTGGATACCATCAGTGACAGTTTACAATGGGAGAGAACAAACCAACTTCCAGTTGAGGAGAAGGTTAGGGAAAGATGTTGGATGTGGATAAGAAATACATCGTGGAAACCATCAAGCTGCTTCACGAGACAAGCCCCAACTTCGAATCGTGAAGGGAAACGAGAAAGCAGAAGGTCAAAGAACACGCTACGTCGAGAAGTGGAAGCAGACATGAGAAGAATGAACAACAATTGGATAGAACTAGAAAGGAAGGCCTAGGACAGGGTGGGTTGGAGAATGTTGGTCGGTGTCCTATGCTCCATTGGGGGTAACAGGCGTACAAAAAATTGTATTAGCAAAGATTATTACTTAATAGTATGTGCAATTCATTATTAATTATCAGCTTCCAGATCATTAAAGAAAATAACTGAATCATTACCACACTACCTTACTTTAATACTACACAAAAAACGTATTTGAAATGAATAAGAACTAGAAAGAGAAGATGGATATTTTGCAATATAGCGTTTAAGATTATAAGGGCGACAAATAGTTAGTTCACTAGCATCATGATTTACAAATAAGTTTGAAACCTACCTGAAAGTCTTTACTAACAACATATACATATTGCAGGAATAAATTATCATAGCTGATTGACTTACCTATGCCTTCTTCGTTTGCTTGACTTAGCACTACTCTTATTGTTATTATTATTATTACCATCATCATCATTGAAGCTATCACTATCCTCATCATCAATATCGTTACCACCGTCATTGTCGTCATCACCGCCATCACTATTGAGTTTTAACAATACATTATCCTGATTCATATAATTTGTCAGTATTTCAATGTTGTTAGATGATGACATATGACTTGATGTATTGTTACTTTTTCTATGTAAAAAATTAGTAGAATTTGTCTTTCTGGATTTACTTTTATTCTCACGTATATTAGTATTACTACTGCGATTACTTTTATGTTTATAAGTAGTAGTGCTACTGATATTAGTAGTTGCAGTAGTAGTAGTAGTAGCAGGAGTGATAGTAGAATTATTATTATTAATTCTGGAAATGATATCAGTAGTAGGAACAGCAATAGAATCAACAGGAATTGTATCAAGTGATTTATTTGTCAACTTAACAAGATTATGTGAAGCAGTATAGTTCAATGAAAGTGAAGACTGTGAATGAGCACAATTTTGTAGTGTATTACCTTGTCTATTATTAACTTCTGTACAATTATATGATAGATTTCTGTAAGAATTATCACAAGTATAAGGGTTATATTGCTTTTCCAATGATTGATTATTTAGTATAGTGAGTGAAGGGAACAAATATGGCATAGAGATGGATGATGGTAGTAACATTGGAGATGATAACTCATTATTTTCATATAATGGTTTGTTTTGTGATGAATGATTGACAAATTCTGAATTGTAATTACAAACATCAGCAACTGATGGAAGAGATGGTTGAATAGAAGAACTAATAGGACAATCGAATTTAGTATTGAAAAGAGTTTCTGTCATAAAAAATATGGTAGAATAAAGATAAAGATAAATCCATCTTGTATTTCAGTAAAAGAAGACATACAAAACAATTTCAATTTAATCAGATGACAAAAGTGAAGTTTTTGATTGATATCATGAACTGATTGATGTTAGATCACCATTGAAAACCTAGAGGCTAAACGTTCGCGCGCGAGACTGAAGACCCTGGATTCGAATCTCGCAGGCGGGATCATGAATGCGCACTGTTGAAGAGTCCAACAATAGGACGAAATGGTACTGAATTCAAATCTCAGAGTAAATATCAACTCTAAAATGCAGATACATTCCACTGACGAGTTCCAAAGAGGACAAAATGCGTGTCCGGGATTCCACTGCTAGCCACTATCTAACTTTGCTTATAATATACCGAATGGTTACATGAGTAAACTAACACATGTGGATTGTTTATCTAACTATTTTTTACTATTCAGATCTCTATGTCAACATCAGTTTGTTGATGTATATATATACATAAGTCATGAGTATTTTTGTACGTCATTCCTATGTTGTCTTCCTTCTGTTTTTTATTTGATTAGTCTAACTTCAGAAATATGCATTCTAACTAAACCAGCCAACACCTTATGATATTAACTTAATTCTAGAGTATAAATTCAATGAAACAAAATAAAACACAGATATGACATGTGAATAAAGCTGAATCTATTTAATGTTCCCTAGTTTTCTTTTCCTTTTAAATTATCCTCCATTAAATGATAGGAATTCAATCAAACAATATCATCTATAGGATAATTCTAAAACCATTAGGAACTAAGTAGTAATTTGTTAGTTTTCTTCTCACTCTCTGTTCTTTAATGGATCATTCAAACCCTAACACCATACTTCAGTATTACAAAGAAATATGAATTCCGGATTGTTTTCTTTTTCATTATAAATAGGTGTTAATTGGAGAAACCATGAAAAGAACTCATATATTAAAGTTGTCATTTCTTTTCAATAATATAACATGTTAAATGTTAAATATATTTATTATTACCCCTCTCTGATTATAATCATCATATGATCACTAGTGACTGGCTTCAAGAAGGTGTTTCCTGAAGTTTTATGGAGAAGCATTGCTTAGTGGAGTTCAACGGGGTCTGTTGTGAGATAGTAACTCACTCAAGACAGTGGTGGATGTATTGCTCAATTTCGTGGACTAGTTGAAGTTAGACATGAACACCGTTGGATACTAGCCGGCTCAGTGGTCTAGAGGTCAAGCATTCGTGCACGAGACTAATAGGTTTCGGGTTCGAACCTCGCGAGGTGGGGTCGTGGATGCGCACTTTTGAGGAGTCCTATACTAGGATGAAACAGATGTCCAGTACTTCCAGGTTTCCCATGGTGGTATAGCTTCTATTGACTCATGAATTCAATTATTAAGTTATTGAAATTTTGTTTACGAATCCATGTTTTCTTCAAAATATTTCATCCTAGTTTAAGATTCATCAGTAGTACACACACTCCTAAATGAGATCGATTCCATGAAACTCAAGTTTTGTAATGACCGCGCTTACATTTCAAGGATCTAAAAATCTCTACAAGATTTAGGTAAATTAGTAATTATTTGATTTAACTCGTTGTTGATATTTTGATAGAATTTTGATCAGTCTTAGTTGAAATTTGTGCATCCTATGAGAACATTATGACACAAGTCTATAAATAATAGATGGAATATAGATAGCAGTGGAGTTCCAGAATCCTGTTTCGTCCTGCTTAGGACTTGTCAGTCAAATGTACCTTCAATTATGAAAATTCAACAATGGGACAATCCTAAACCATTACAAATTAGGTTAAAATAGATACTAGTTGAAAAAGTGGAAAGCTCTGTGGATTCAGTAGCCAAGTGAATTATTCATTGGTGTTTCAGGCCAAAGTACTGAGTTCGAATCCTGGAGCAAACATCAATATGTGCGAGTCCCGAATGGACTGAAATGCAAGTTCTATATCTCGCTGTTCATCACTATCCAACTTTAACAAATTCCTTTACAAGGTTACCGATATCATCTATGGATCCAAATCAGTCTAAGATTTTAGTCTTTTCATTGATCTATCAATAAAAGAAATCAGCAAGATAAGGAGAGAATAAGGAATCATAGTTTTAACATTAGTGTAAAGTTAGATATAAGGGGAATAGTTTAAAAAGAAGTGGAGAAGATTTGTAGCTCAGGTGGATGATTTTGATGGAGTTTTGTTCTCTGAGCTGGATGGTTTGGTCGTGAAGCTTTCATCGTGCAACATCGAGATCTACAGGACAAACTGTGAACCATATGTGGAGAAATTTGAACACTTCACTTCTACCTGAAGTTTGTACTGATGATGTCGTTAAAAAGAACGATGAAAATTCCACGACCAAACCATCTAATTAAGAACAAAACTCCGTTTCAAATAAGTATATATGATTACGCCGGGAAATGGAGATGGACATCAGAAAAATGAAAAAGACTTGGATGGAACTAGAAAAGAAGGTCCAGGACAGTGGGTTGGAGAATGCTGGTCTGCGGCCTACGCTCCATTGGGAGTAACAGGCGTAAGTAAGTAAGTAAGGAATATATGATTACATAGTGAAAAGAATATGATGATACTAAACGCAGACTTTGAAATACGATGAAGAATTAATACATTTACACTAATACAATTGAATTTCTAAAGCTGAATATATATAGATGCAACTCAATATAAGCGATATTACAATATTCGTATATTCCATTGATTGAAAATTATATTGTGAACAATGAATCTCTTCAGCTTCTTCATTTTCCTATTTTATGAAAAGTTAACCACCCTAGTTACATCATTCTTATCATTTAACCCTAACCTTAAACTCAATTTGTAGACAGGTTTATTTCTTTGAATAAAAAATCCTACATTTCAGTAACTACAGTTTCCATTATCGATTCTCCGATACAACACAACATGCATTAATCCGATCACACTTGACGGAGAAGATTTGGAAGATGTAAGAACATTTACATATCTAGGCAGTATCATTGTTGAGAACTGTGGATCTGATGCAGATGTGAAGGCGCACATCGGCAAAGCAAGAGCAACATATTTACAATTGAAGAATATCTGGAACTCAAAACAACTCTCTGTCAACCAACACCAAATTCAGAATTTTCAATACAAATGTCAAAACAGTTTTACTGTATGGGGCGGAAACTTAGAGAACTACGAAAGTCATCATCCAGAAAATACAGGTGTTTATTAACAATTGTCTACGTAAAATACTTCGGATTCATTGGCCAGACACTATCATCAACAACGTACTGTGGGAGAGAACAAACCAGACTCCAGGAAGGAAGGAAGGAGGAAGAAGCACTGGAAGTGGATAGGACACACAATGAGAAAACCACTGAACTGAGACACATGACAAGCCCTCACATGGAATCCTCAAGGCTAAATAAAGGAGAACAGGAAGACCAGATAACACATTACGTTGAGAAATGTAGACAGACATGAGAAGAATGAACAACAATTGGATAGAACTAGAAAGTAAGGCTTAGGGCAGAGTGGGTTGTAGAATGCTGGTTGGTGGCTTATGCTCCGTTGGGAGTAACAGGCGTAATTATATAAGTAATAGTTTCTACCATAATATTAAGGTCAGTAATGGTGAATATTATTGTTATAAGTGCTACGTTTGAGGAGATTACGAAATCATCTAAACGGGCAAACAAAACGAAGGTTCAGCAACATAAAAACAAGACAAGCTAACTATTCCGATACGTCTCAGTTCTGCTAACTATATAGAGAAGACCGGGTTCAGACGAAAGAAAGGTATATTCCACGAACAGCTAGAAGCACGAACAAACCAAGAACACAACTCAACCATATATATATCAATATATATAAAGCATAAAATGGTCCTTGGGAAACGTCACAACATAGAATATTCACACAGGTAACAAACCAATGATATCTAATTCCCTCCAAGGTGATGAAGTCGTTCAAAAGAACGATGAAAGTTCCAAGACCAAACCATTCAGCTCGGAGAACAAAACTCTATCAAAATTACAAAAATAAGTCGTTTACCAATCGATTTCTAAGGATGGAACATCCCCCAACCATAAGTTTAAAAAAAGAATTAAAAAACTTTTTTTCTTTCAGTAAATCACTGCATCATTAATATGAAAGAAGGTTAAAAAAATATAGAAAAAAAACACACACACACAACATCTGGTTACTAATTTCTTTCTACCTTGCCAGAAAAACCAAGAAGAAGAACTTCAGAGAATTTTTTTGCTTTTGACTTTATAAACTAAAAAAATTTCACAGTCATTTTGAAATAAGAAGTTTGATACGAGTAATGCAAAAAACATAGTGGGTTCTTTCTTTTTTACCGACTAAAGAAAACAGGTGAAAAGGTCAATTATTATTTTGTTAACACAAGACAACTTCATCATCCTCATCCTCACCATCATCAACACAAATATGATGTACATTATATAATACATAAACAATTAAATAAACCTTGACTGATTATCCCCTAGATTATCTAATATTAGTATTGATGTATGCAAATGTGAGTTTGTATGTGCGGGTGTGTGTGGGGAGGGGGATGGATGGTTTACTCAGCTCCTTCAAATCTAACCCATACATATATTAAGATGTAGTAACAACAGAATTAAAACGATGTTAATTGTTTGTTTATTATGCTTATTCTATTCATCTAAAGTAGATTTTTTTCATTATTAAAAGTTATTCCACAATAGGATGAAACAGTCATCTAGTACTTCCTGGTAATTCCATGGTGGTCTAAATTCAATTGACTTATGATCTCAACTCTTGAAATTACTATAATATCCACAATGACCCCTTTTTTGATAATAAAAGTTAATTGAGCGTATCATTACCAAATTAAAGAAATAAATAAATAAAAGACACTAATCCAATCATTATTTGATTAGTTCTAATATACTTCAAATAATAATCATATGTATCCTATTTAATTCGTTCAAGAAATTGTTACATAACA